CTTAAGTCTTCTAATGTATGACATGGTAGATTAGAACATGTTAGTTTTGATACTTTGCATAAATTAATGAATTTAGAATTGTTGCCTAAATTCAATATTGATGCAAATCATAAATGTGAAACATGTGTTGAATCAAAATTAATTAGAGCATCATTTCATAATATTAAAAGAAGTACTGAACCTCGAGAGTTAATTCATAGTGATACATGTGATTTGAAATATGTTCAAACTAGAGGTAAAAAGAAATATTTTGTTACATTTATTGATAATTACACAAGATATTGCTATGTATATTTGCTAAGGAGTAAAGATGAAGCATTGAAAAAATGTATGCACTATAAGAATAAGGTTGAAAATCAACTTGACAAAAAGATTAAGGTAATAAGAAATGATCGAAGTGGTGAATATGATGCACCTTTCTATCAGTTCTGTCAAGAACATGATATTATTCACCAAACTTCTGTATCTTATACACCTCAGCAAAATGGAGTTGTTGAACATAAAAATAGAATATTGAAAGAGATGATGAATGCCATGTTGATCAGTTCGGGATTATCTCAGAACTTGTGGGGGAAGCTTTGCTTTCAGTAAATTATATTTTAAATAAATCACCCCACAAGAAGTTAGACAAAAACTTTATGAATTATGAAAAGGTCGGAGTCCTCCCTATAAATATTTAAAAGTGTGGGGGTGTTTGGCTAAGGTGATGGTTCCTATTTCCAAAAAAATAAAAATAGGACCTAAGACTGTTGATTGTATATTTATTGGTTATGCAATAAATAGCAGTACATATCATTTTCTCGTGTATCAATTTGATATTCCTCATATACATGTCAATAAAATAATTGTGTCAAGAAGTGCTTCATTCTTTGAAAATGTCTTTCCTAGTAAAAATGCTAATCAAGTAAAGGGCGAGTTTGAAGCAAAAGGAGCTAGAATGCAGGAATACCTCAGCATGGTGAAAAGCTTGATCGCAAAGTTTTAATACTTCCAGATTTATCACATCGTGAGAAAAGACAACATAACCGCTGATGCATTGGCCAGACTCACCTCATCTTTGGGAGCCCCACCAGGAGAACCAACATTCATTGGTCACCAATTAAGACTAAGAAAGTTAGACATGGAAGCCATAAACATCAATTGTGCATCGTTAGAGTCAAATTGGATGACCCCGATAAGGGTATACCTCCAAGAATGTGTGTTGTCAAAGGACCCTCTAGAAGCCAGGAAGCTCAGGATGAGAGCCTCCAAGTTTACTATCCTATAGGACATCCTGTACAAGAGAGGCTACTCCTTGCCATTACTGAGATGCCTCTCACCTGAAGAAGCTGACTATGCCATTTGAGAGATCCATGAGGGGGTTTATGGGAATCACTCTAGAGGGCGCTACCTCGCTCATAAGGTGCTCAGACAAGGCTACTTTTGGCCTTGGATGATGAGGGACGCCTAGGAATTCAACAAGAAGTGGGATAAATGTCAGCGCTTTACCACTGTGCCCAAGCAGCCACCAGAAGAACTCACGGTCATCACAAGTCCGTGGCCATTCTCTAAATTGGGGCATCGACATTCTAGGCCCCTACCTCTCAGCAAAGGACAATGCAAGTTCATGGTGGTAGCGATTGACTACTTCACTAAATGGGCGGAGGGCGAATTCTTAGTAAAGATAACAGATACAAAGGTCAAAGATTTTATTTGGAAGAACCTGGTCTGTCGCTCCTGGATACCCCATGCCATTGTAAGCGACAACGCTAAATAGTTTGACAACAAGCTCCTGAACTCCTTCTGCTCTGACCTTCAAATAAAGCAGCCTCATTCAAGCCTGGCGCACCCGCAGACAAATGGACAAGCGGAAGTTATGGTGAGAACGGTGCTACGCAACCTAATGAACAAGTTTGAAAAGGTGAAGGGTATTTGGGTTGACGAGCTCCCAGGTGTTTTGTGGGCCTACAACACTACACTAAGAGCTCCAATTGGAGAAACTTCATTCTCCCTCGCATTTGGAACTGAGGCAGTCATCCCTGTGAAAATTGAGGTGCACTCTCTAAGCGTCCAATACCACAACCCCGACACTAATGAGGAAGGACTCCGCATCAACCTCAACTTGGTAGAGGAGGCAAGAGAGATGGCTGTGGTCCACAAAGCAGAGTACAAGCACCGTATGATAAAGTACTACAACTCAAAGGTGAAGCCTCGTTCTTTCCAACCAAGAGACTTGGTCCTCAAGAAAGTGATTCTTGCTACAAAGGATTCATGGGAAGGAAAGTTGTAACCAAATTGGGAAGGACCCTACCTCATAACAGAGGTGGTAAGGTCAGGCACTTACAAGATCCAAAATTTTGAGGGGAATGTCTTACCCCATTCATGGAAGGCGGAGCACTTGAAGAGATACTACCAATGACACCTTGAGAAAGTAGAAAAATTGGAGACTTGGTTTTATTTTTTACTCTTTGTGGGGCTATTACCTGATATTGCTTTATATGAGAAAAAAATGAATAAAATTTCTAGATTTCCTTCAAAATGATCTTTGCATTTTCATATTCAACTTCTCAGCTTCAAAGTTGCATCAATGGCAAAAACCACTTTTACAAAAGTATGGCTGCAAAATGCCTTTTCAAAAAAAAAAAACAAAAAACCAAAAAGTCTCTAGCATGCTAACTACTCATGGTCGTCATCCTTTCCTCATCGTCACCCTCGGTATCGTAGAATCTCCACCATTGTCATCAGGCGCCTCAGTTGGCAAGAAGCCTGAGACGTTAATATTGGGAAAAGTAGTGGAAATCTTTCCCCGAAGCTCCTCATAACCGTTAATAAAGGTGTCTGCAAGACCACTCTCAAAGTCCCTCTCAACTATCATCGCCCTCTCCTTAGCATAGGAAGCCCCTTTCCTTAGCCTAGGAAGCCCTCTCATGAGATGCCTTCACCTCTGCCTCTGCGTCAGCCTCTCTGAGCATGGCTCTCTCACGGACTTCCGCAAGCTCAGTCTCGAGCTTGGCCGCCTTCCCATGGGTCACCGAAAGCTTAGCCTTACTGAGCATGGCCCTCTCATGAACCTCAACAAGCTAAGCCTCGAGCCCGAACACCCTCCCATGGGTCATCAAAAACTCGATCTCAAGACCAGTCACCCTCTCGTAGGTTGCTACAAGGTCAACATCAAAAGCCTTGCCAGTAGCTTCAAGCTCGGTGATCCTCCTCTGAGCAGTAAGAAGCTTATTTTGCACCACTTCATGATCGTGTTTCAGCTTGTGATAAAGGAGGGTTCTTGAAAATAAACACATAGTTGCAGTGGAGGCCTAAAAAGAAACATGAGGTAAAAAAAGGGAGAAAGGGGAAGAGAACAAACCCTTACCTGAGCCCAGCCTTCTAGGAAAGAGTTGTGGATCCCCTCGATGCCCAAGACACTAATCCCATTCACATCGTTGGTGAACAAAAACTTCCCAAGACGATCCTTGATGACCTGCGCGTTATTCAACATGGAGTTAATTTGAGAAGGTACCCTAGAAGAAGTCCCCACAGGAGTAGTGGATGAATGGGGGGGTAGAATGTGTGACCAATAAACGAGACTCTAGACAAGATTCTAGGGCAGGAGGTGCAGTTGTGGGAGCATCTGACGGAGGAGGCACCCCTGGATTGGTCACTTAATAGGAGGACGCTCGAGGTGCCAGTGGAGGGGTTGATTGAGGAGAGCTCATATCGGGCATCATGGTTGGAAAGGTAGCTTGGGAAGCATCCTCCGTCCTCGCCACCTTAGAAGGAGGAGGACTCCTACTCGAAAGGCGAGACCTAATCACCTCCCTATCTACTGCTCCAAAGAAAATAAAGTATTACCCACATGAACAACACCAAGTAAAAAAAGAAGGTACAAAGAATCAACTCACCTTTCCTCTTCGAAAAGGAGCCGCCGAACTTCAGGGAGGGAGTAATGTTCCTAGCATCCTTGGGCAAAAGTACTCCCAAGTCCTTGTTAGGATGAGCCCTCATGGCCTACAATTTCCATTCTTGGTCTTTGGAGAGCACAGCGGATCTGCAAGAGGAATGATGAGTAAAAAAAAAAAGAGCAAAAGAGAGAAAGTAAATATGTGACATACCAAGTTTCTTAGGGACACCCTATCCTCTCGGTACCAAAGCCCGATCAGCCTCTGCAGCCCACTCTCCGCCGATAAATACAAAGCGAGATTTCCAACTATGGCAGTTGGACCGCAGACCGATAATCAACTTGTCTCTCGTGGTGAAGTAATACCAACCCCGATTGGGAGCAGGGGGTCTCGCTCAAAGTATAAGCTCCATGAAACTCCTTAGGAGAGGCATCCTCATGATGCACTTTCCTCCACAATACAAGAAAAACCAATATGACTCTCCAACCATTGGGTGACAATCGCCCCGGGGTGAGGGAAAAATAATGAAGAATACTGCAAATAGAAGGAGATATAGGGAACCTAAGCCCAGCCTCCAGCATTTCCTTATAGATGAAAATGTCACTAGAGGAATCACCAAAGGCAAGCTCACCCATCTCGGCTCGACGGCACAGCACAGTCGAAGGAATGTGGTAGGCGGAGATAATTCGCAAAATATTAGCATCTGTATCTAAAGTGCTAGAGATGGTATTTACCTTGGACCCATCATCAACTACTTTGCTTTGTTGTTTTTTCTTGCGAGAGCTCAAAGTGTGGACGGTGCCATTCCGAGGGAGGCCTTGAGAAGTCGAGGCGCCTAAGGCAACCTCAGGCTTGCCTAAGGAATCCCCATGGTTGCCCAACGCCTGAACAGCACGCCTAGCTGTCCTGCGCATGGAAGCAGCGCCCAGGGGCTCCTCCTCCCTCTCTTTTCCTTCGCCTAATGGGCTGCCCAGCACACCAGATGCCAGAACCTTCCTCTGCCCCACACCTTTGCCCCATCACACGGAATTGTGCACTTCGAGACCGCTCAGTGTAGTGCCTAGATGGCTGTCCTGTCCAACGCCTAAAGTGGCGCTTAGATTTCTATTTGAATCAGCGTCTAACTCTTTATCCTGCTCGCTTGTCACGTGAGCTGCACGCCCCTCTGCGTGACCAGCAAAGTCGCCCAACACCTGGATAGCAGCGGCACCCAGTTCCTGCTCGTCCGACGTAGTGGGCTACCTCGTTCTTTCCTTCGTCCCACCTTGCTCGCCCAACACATGAATTGCTTGCCCATTGCAAAGGGCTACTCGCCCATCATGATCCATAACAACTTGTTCCTCTGCCATAGCCGCCCCCACATCAGATAGCACCATGGACGCGCGATCGGCGACGACGGACGTCCCAAGCATCTCCACGTTGGCGTCTACCTCATCCTCCATCTCTCCTTGGATCAGTGCAACAACCCCATGATTACTTCCTTCATTTGTCATGGGTTCCTAACACAATTCCTTGAAGGAGTCTTGGAAATAAAAGCCATTTTTCACTTTCTCAACTTTCAATGGAATGAGTAAAGTGGAGAGAGCTACTATTTATACCTAAGGTTTTTTGAAAACAAGGAAAAGGCCTAATTCAAAACCAAGGGCTTTTCTAGAATTCAAAAGAGGGAATAAAAGGAAGAGTTTATGTAGCTGGAGGTGTCCTACAGAGCTAAAATATATATCAGAAAAGAAGGAGGAGCCTTGGTATGTAATTCAAAAAACAGTTTTAAGGTGGAACCCCGCGACCTGTCGGGGCAGGTCGATCCTTGCTATCATAGTGCAACATGGACGTAGCGAGTGAGGAGTATTCTTGGGTTAGAATTCAAATTTAGTTGAATGCCCACTTTTCCAAATTTCATTGGATATGGGGCATTGAGGGGCAAATGATGGGTCAAGCCCAAATGGCCCAATCCACGGGAAAAAGCCCAAGCTTATAGAAAATCAAGCAAACCCTATGAGGTCCAAGACAGTCAAGTCCATCAGGGAGCTACGGGAGCATCCAGGAGTTATACCCTTGCCTGTTGAGGAAGAGGAGAGGTCGCCAGGGAGAGGAGAGGTCGCCAAGAAGAGGAGAGGCCATTAGCTATTAAGTTGCCTCCGGTCCGTTATAACTGTCAAGCTACTCAATTACTACGTAGGCTTCTATAAATTATAAGCTCCCCTAATACTTGGGGGACACCTCAACAAAATCAAGCTCATCTCCTTCTCTCTTGTAATTCTTGTTCTCCTAAACGCATCGAGTCAATAAAATTCCCGCCCAACATACCCATTGAAAGTGGGCATAGGTCTCATTGACCAAACTATTTTAAACCTTGTTTTCTCTCTACCTCTACTTACTGCATTTTATATTGCTTAATTGACGGGTGGTGTGCAAAACGATTTTGTGCGTCATCAATAGCTAATAAGCCTCCTTTAACTATCCTGATGGAGTTGCTCTTAGTAGCTAACCTAAGCCAAAACGGGTTGAATCCATAGAGAAAATTTAAAAACAAACATAATAGAATTTTGAAATGAAAAAAAGTGTGCTGAAATAAAATCATACAAGAGTATGTCAAGGGCATAAAGGATTTAATTTTTGTGCACTTACCGGCGCAAATGAAAATAAAAAAGGCAGGGCAGAGTGAGATTGAAAATTAAGGTTTTTATGATGCATAGTGATTGGCAATCTAATGGTGAGATACATGTGGATTGGGAGTTTTATTTCACCTTTTGTTTGTTTCAATGCTTGTGGTGTGTTTTCGACATCAACATCTTCTTGTTTGGTAATTCTAACCTTTTTCTGTCTAAAGTTGCGAAAAAAATTCTGTTATCGGTTGCATCATGAATTGTAGATTCAATTGATTCAACCTCAAATAAATAATTTCAATAAAAAAATACATCAAGGATAGATTTCTAACTAGCTTGATTGGTAGGTATAAATTTGTTTTGAATTTCTTTAGGCTTTATTAGTGTTATAGGGAAATTTTGTTTTAATTAATTCTTATTAGGTTTTCATTGGGTTTAAACTTATCTTGCTGTTAAATCAATTAGATATGACTATATGTAAATTGTGTACATAAATTATATCTTGAATAAAATTGCATTATTCACGTGCAACACACGTGTACATCAACTAGTACATGGATGTGTGTGTATTTATATATATATATATATATACACATACATGTGACTTAATTAAAGCTAATATAAAGTTTAAATTAATTAATTTTAGATACTTTTTAAGATAAGAATTATTTATCTATTGATATTATTATATATATATGTATCTTAATTATATATTTTTTAAATTATGACTCCTTCAAATATTTCAAATGGTTTCTAATCACTTGATTTAAAAAATATCTAATCTCATTAAAATAAATTCATAAAAAAATAAAAATAATGAATTTATTAAATAGAAATTAAAGTAAGAATAATTATGTAATACAAAAGAAAATATAAATATTTGGGAGAATTATAATTTACTGGCTACTTGTAGACAAATAAAATTTCTAGAGATTACCGGCCGCCAATTTTATCTAAATTTAAGACCTTTTTGGGTAATTGGGGTCTAAACGCGTGCTTTACTGAGACCTTGTGTACTGGCCGGTTTAGGGTTAGGGTTTGGGTTTGGTCCGCCGGAGTGGTCAATTTCTGAAACGCACACGGACACTCGCTCCATGGGCAAGAGGGAGAAGAAGCTGAAATCGAAGTCAGATCACGAAAGCGACGACGAAGCACTAGCCGTATTGGACGACGACGATGACGAAGAGGCGAACGAGGACTTGAGCTTGAAAATCGTCGAGAAAGCTATGTTACGAGCGTGTAGCACCCGCCGAAACGACGGCGTTATGGAAGAATCAGAGAGCGGCGTTACTCTTATCACCGACATCCAAAACGATGCCGCTTTCGATGAATCTAAAAGAAGTGGTCTTGTTGTTGCTGCGTCGCCTTCTGAAGAAGCTCATGTTGTTACGAACATGAAAGGTAGTAAGAAGACGAAGAAAGAGAAATTGAAGAAGAAGAACCAAAAAATTGAGTCCCAAAACGACACCGTAAGTGCTTGAATTGAATCGTGAAATTGAGTATTCTTAACTTATTCTCTAGATTTTTTAGATTGATTTTGGATTTCATGGTCTGACTTTGGGATTGTTTTTTTTTTTTTATAGAATGAGGGTGTGCACTTAATTATGCTACTCAATGGTGGTTGTAGTCTTAATTAAGTTCATATATGTGTTTTCTCAGGTGCCAAGTGATATATGTTCGAATTTCAGGAAGTTTTGTGGCGAATTGTTCGCGGTAGACTGAACACATTTTGTATATATCAATGGATTTTCATCATGTCTTCTTGATTAGCTTAGGAAAAATAAGACCTACACATGTTTTTCTTAGGAACTCCTTTTTTGGGTTTAGAAATTATTTGCCATTATACAAGCAGACCCTTATGAAAATGTGTATATATTTGTAGAAGAAAGTATTTATTATGAAGTCAGAAGAGAAAATCTCACAGTTTTCTCGATGATTTCTGAGATATTTTTGCAGAAAAGGATCATTGCCCCGTGCAATTGTAAAAGTAGCCATTAATTAATAGGGAGCAAACTGGGTAATGACCTTTTTCGCAATTGTGAAAAACTTCTGGAGTATTTTATTCTTAAGAAGAAGGTTTTATTTATTATTTCTCTTGAAATTGCATTATTAAATCTCTATTTCTGTCTTAGTTCTTATTTTAATTTAGCCTTAAAGCCATAACCTTTCTATGTGAAGGAATTTTGGAAATTGAACTTGCAATTGGTTACAATGGCTTTTTTCGCTATCTTCATTTGCATTAGGTTGATGGTACACAGGAGGAAGACCAAGCAGAGAGAGGCAAAGCTCCAGTGGTTAATGAATTTGTTGAAACAAATCCTGTTGAAATTGCTGATAATATTGTGCTGCGAAAGCTTCTTGTGAGTTGAAGTAATATGTTGCATCTGCTTTTTGGAAATACAACTACATTTATTTGTGGCTTTATGTATTCTTCTTTCAGCGAGGGCCTAGGTATTTTGATCCTCCAGATAGTGGTTGGGGAACATGCTATAATTGTGGTGAAGAAGGCCATACAACTGTGAACTGTACATCAGCTAAGCGAAAGAGACCTTGCTTTGTTTGTGGAAGTTTGGAACACAATGCAAAACAGTGTGCCAAGGTTTGTGATGGTAAACATGAATAAAGTTAGAGCTCTTCTTATTTTAGAACACAACTATAGTCAAATGATTTTGCATGACATTCCACCTGAAGCTGGGACAAGATTGGCTATAAAAGTGGGAAAATTGTTTTTGGTGTTTTAGCTGTCTATTTTTAATTTGCATTTTTTTCTCCTGTATATTCTAATGATTATCCATCATTGATACATATGTGTTCTCTAAATGCAACCCCTTTGATCATCCTGATATGGCAGGGAGGGAAATGTTCATAACTTCATACAATAACTATGCCTGGGCAAAAGAGAGAATAACAAAAGCTATGAACTTCAGACACATAAGCCCCTAGACTAGAAGTGTTCAAATGCCTTAAAAATGCAATGTGTCAGAAGTACATTGTGTTCCTGCTCTTGGAGGAATCATCTTCTCGATTGGAATCAGACCATCAAACTATGATTTTGGTCTTGCTTTTAAAAGAGACAAACCATTCACAAAGTTCTATGCCTTCTAATGACAAGTCTTGTAGATGAGTTTGCATTTAGCTTAGGAGTTTGTGATCTGTAATGCTATAATAATTCAAGAGTTTCTTCTGTCTGGTTATTATGGAATTACAGATTGAACATAAAACTTTTCTGTTAAATCTGTGGGGCTGAATAATGGGTGGTTTTAGATTACGCAATGGAATAGATTTGGTTCCTTTTCTTGTGTTTTAAATCAAGCTGGTATTGTGGTGAAGTGGGATCAGAAGGGAGTGTTTCTGAAAAAGTACAGGGAAGCAGGGTTTTGTATTTTGGTGGAAATGGAGGCTAGTAGATATGGTGTGTTTTTGAGGATTACAAAGTTAATGAATAATGGAGGAAGCCTGGGACTTATTATCTTGGCGTTAATGCAAAAAGATGGATTCAGTTTGGTAGATTATTGGATGTTTCAAGGGGAAAGCTAGGTGGAATGGACAGGGTAAGGAGTTAAATGATAGGTAACAAAGTGGAGGAAAAGAAGCAAATGAATACATAGACATTTGAAGAGTATTATGAATATTGATATTGAGTGAAGCCATTCCAAGTGGATAAAACAATATTCTTATGTGACTCAGATACGAAAGCTGAAGAGATGCGTAAAGTTGAGACTTGTCTTTTGGAAAATTCTATGTCTGTGAAGTTGCAAAGTTGCAGCGTGCCAATACAATTAGAGGCAAGGTTTCTTTTATGGGAGGATGGATTGCAATTGAAGGTCTTCCATTTC